GCGCTGTCCTCTGATATTCAGGCAAGTTTTATTTCTTAGATTACAAATATCACCACACATATCCTTTAAGCTTCCAAGCCTGTCCCCAAGGTCAAGCCCTCCTAGCAGCCTGAGTCTAGCATGCTGTGTCCACTCCGACAGAATTGGGTACCACCTGCACATGGCCAGCTCCCACACTGTGGCTAGCCTTATCTCTATCCAGTCAATGCGGCATCTTGGAAACACATCTGGCTGTGGCCATCAGAATCTGACCATCTTGTCACGAAGGAACAATCTTTTCCAGGGCAGAACCAGGACCATCTTGGTCCCCAACCTGTCCCTCTCTTGCTGCCTGCTGCCTTTAACAAACGCACATGTCTGGTTGTAGGTGTGGCGGCACTTGGACCCTTTGGCATGGTAGTGACAGAGAGCAGGTATGAGAAGCTGCCGGGGTCAGCAGAATTTCATCCATGTGGATCATGGCATCCTCCTAGCCGAGCTGGGGGGAGCCCTGGGTGTCCTTCAGAGTCTTAAGGCAGGAATTGGGTCTCAGGACTCAGCCTAGGCTATGCCTGGGGCACTTTGGAACTAGAGCCCTGCTGTTACAAACATGGCCGCTCGTGGCCGTGGCTGCTGTCTGGTGCAAGCCAAGGGGACAAGCAGGCTGAGTCACTGCTACAGATGCTGGGGAGCAGAGCAGGCCGGAGATGATGGCGACAACGGGGGGATGCAGGAGGGGAGCAGTGTGTGCAACAGAGATGCAAATTATACAGATTGCTACAAGATGGTAAGTGCTGTGGAAAACAGGACTTGGCCAGGGAGTGTGGGCCAGCAGATGGCAAGGGCAGGGTGCTCCAGAGGACACTGACTGGTAGGTACAGCTGCTGTATCCTGCAGCTGCCCGGGCCAGGGTGGCCATTGTGTTGTGGGTGGTGAGATGTGGGAGGAGGGAGGCCCTTGTGGACAGGCAGGTGGTTAAGCTGTCATCCCAAGGGCTTTGGGAATCACTGGGGGTCTGGGCATCTGAGAGTCATGACCTGGCTGTGCTTCCAGAAAGCAAGGACAAAGTGCTAAGCCCCAGAGAGGCTCTGCCCAGAATATATTATTAAACAACTGTGGAAAGGATTGAGAGCTGGTGAGTGACTCGGTGGGTGAATGTATTGGTCACCTAGCCTGGCGACTTGCCTTCTATCCCTGAACCCAAGAAGTGGAAGGAAAAAACTCCTACACATTGCCCTCTGACCTCCACATGTACGACATAGAGTGAGCATGGCCACACACACCCATATGAATATGGAAATAAAATTAAAGACAGATGTGACACACACCTATAATCCCAGCAGTCAGGAGGCAGGGGCAGGTAGATCTGTGAGTTCGAGGCCAGCCTGGCCTACAGAGTGAGTTCTAGGGCTACATAGTGGGACCCTGTTTCAAACATCAACAAAAGCTTAGGAAGGGAATATGAGGAGAGGGTGCACCTTGCTTCGGAGGACCCCACTCCCCACTCGTCCTTGCCCCAGAACCTGAGAGAGAGGCTCCCGCTGTCCAGCTGTGGGGGTTGTGTTTGGCTCTCCAGCCCCAGGACACACACTTCCATAATTAGCACAGAGTCAGCCAAGAAGGGGGTTTGGGCACGTGCTGGACCAGAGAAAGGAGGAGCTTCCTGTGTGGGGTGGGGGGAACAGAGCCTGCACGCTCAGTGGTTTTGGGACACGATGGACTAGATGGCCAGAAAAAGTTGCTCAGCACCCCTTGGACCCAAACTCTGGAAGCTTTGGGCTTCCATCCCTGGGGTGACATGGCAATCACAGGGGTCCAATGATGAGATCTGAGTTGAGGGCTTACTGTCACCAGTGTCCTTGAAGCCTCAGTTTCTCCACTTGTAAAATGGGGCGATGTTCTCTGCTCTGGCTGACACTCATGAGAAATGAGAATTTGGGACTCTGGACCAGCACAGGCGCTATGCTGTGGTTGCTGAGGGCTGGAGCGCTGGGCCTTCCCTGGTGCGAAGGAAAACCCCAGATACACCCTGGGCCAGGCCACAGTTGTTCCCCATCCCCCTTCTGAAATCTAGTGTCCACTCTTTTCAGTGGGCACCACCTTAGCCTGTGTGGAACCAACCTCAAGGTTCCTGTTACTCAATGTGTGCTATGTCCTCCTGGCAAAGGTCAGGTTCTGTCCTGGGCCAGACAGCTGAGCCATCCAGCTGGTCCATGGAATTTGACTTTATCTCTGAGTAGGTGGGCTGTCTCCTCCATCTGTACAGGTCTGAGCCTCCCCTGTGTCTGGGTGGCAGTGGCTGGAGGTGTGTGATGTTGGGGTCCTCCATCCTACCTGTAGCCACCTGCACCTGATGCCTTTCTCCATTTGTTTTTTGAGACAGGGTCTGATGTAGCCCAGGCTGGCTTTGCTGTGTAGCTGAGGATAACCTTGAACTCTTGATTTCCTGGTATTACAAGTGTGTGCCGCCACATCCTGTCCAATACCTTTTTTCGGGAGAGTTTCCAGACCCCTGCAGTCCTGGCTGGCTCCTTGGTATGAAGCCATCCAGAGGAGGTTTATGGTCCTCTTCTCCAAGTACCTAGTATATGGGGTACCTAGTATATGGGGACCTGGAAACCTGTCCTCAGCTATCTGCAGCTGCACTTGAGGAGCCAGGACCTGCTGCAGGAGACAGGAAGCTAGTCATGGAGTGGAGATGTAGGCATAGGGAGGCTCCCACTGGAGACTCCTACAGGCCTGGGTGTTCTGGTCATCGTGGGAGTGGATGCACAGTGGGCAGGGATGCTGAACCACCAGAGACCCACACCCCGCTCTATTGCTGAATTTTGCTGCTGCTGCTGTTTTTCCTCCTTTCTTCCTTGCAGTAAAAACACACTTGGCATTGCAGTTTCAGCCTCATTGTGTATCTGTGTTCACACTCGTGTGGTGTTGGGAGCAGAACTGAGTGTGCATACCCCCAAATTCCAAATGATATTTTCAACTTGTGCCTCTACACACTCAGTTCTAGAGCCTGGATTAGGGCGCTCTGGTGTTCTGTCCCACGGGAGGGTGCCTAAGGAGGCAGGAGGCTCTAGGCTCAACCTGTGAAACACCAAACAAACCCAGAGAGAAGAGTCCAGAGTCTCTGCTTTCCCAAGGCACAGAAGAGAGAACTATTTGAGGGGTGGAAATGCTAATCAGGGCTGGGGATGACACTCAGGGCTGGGGAGCTGTCCAGCATGCACAAGGCCTGGGTTCAGTCCCAGCAACACACACACTAAGCTGTGTGGCCCTGTGTGCATGAGACACCGAGAGTAGTCAAGTCACAGTGACAGCAGCAGAATTGCCGGGGTCACCTTTAACAGAGTTCTGGGACACCTTTAACAGAGTTCTGGGACACCTTTAACAGAGTTCTGGGACACCTTTAACAGAGTTCTGGGACACCTTTAACAGAGTTCTGGGACACCTTGACAGAGTTCTGGGACACCTTTAACAGAGTTCTGGGTCACCTTTAACAGAGTTCTGGGACACCTTGACAGGGTTCTGGGACACCCTTGACAGGGTTCTGCGATACCCTTGACAGAGTTCCGGGACACCCTTGACAGAGTTCTGGGACACCCTTGACAGAGTTCGGGGACACCTTTAACAGAGTTCGGGGACACCTTTAACAGAGTTCTGGGACGCCCTTGACAGAGTTCTGGGAGTGTCGTGTAGAACCCAGACACCCCTCAGGCCCAATGCCCTGCAGCGGGTTCTCCCTGCTGCAGATAGGAACCTGCTCCATACTGGACACCCTACCAAGAAATCCTGATGCATCACTGGTCTCTAGCAGACTCCCAGGTCTCAGGGGCTCTCACCTGGAAAAGTGAATCTATCAAAAGGGGAATTGGTGACCACATACCCTCTTCCTTCCCTCCTCCCTGACTCCTGCCTGGAAACCAGCCTGGCTGCAGGCTTGTGTTGTGACACCTCCATCATCCTCAAGAAGGTAGAAGAGACCCCCCCCCTACTGTGGGCCTGATCTCCTCACAGCCTCTGTGATGCTGCTGTTTGTCTTTCTGTCCATAGCATTAAATAAATCTTGTAGTCTCCAGGAACGGTCTCTGTCTTCACATCCTCTGTTGTTGAGACCTTAACATTCCAATTTTCTTTTTCAGTGCTGGTCACGGGACCCAGGGCTTTGGACACATTGGCAAGTGTTCTGTCAAGGAGCCACACCCTCAGCCTTCCAGTCAATCTTACAAGATGAGAAGGATCATGGAGAAAGATGATGTTGGTGGTTATGAATTGTTAATGTGTTGAATAATGCTGAATGTTCATAACGATTTAGATGGTAAACTGCACACTGGGTGTGGCCTACTGCAATAAAAATGAGGGAAGGATATGCAAATATCAGACTGGAGGGAGATAACGCCGAACATGTTTCTGACCAAGGTCTAGCATCCAGTCATAGAGAAGTCTTAGACCTCCTAACGAGACAGCTGAAGCCAGGCATTTGGGTGAGGCTTGCAGTTCTAGTGCTCAGGAGGCTGAGGCAGGAAGATCATGACCTTGGGTTATATAATGAACCCTCAAAACAAAAGCACAAAGACCCCCCCATAAAACCATAAAAATATATGTTTTACAAGGTAGATATGTGGGCTGGGGATGTGGCTTAGGTCCTAGAGTGCCTGCCTAGCATGCATGAAAGCCCCGAGTTCCATTTCCACCACCTATAAAGTGGGCATGGAGTCAAGAAGTTCAGGGTCAGCCTTGGATACTTAATGACTTGGAGGCCAAACCTCGGCTACATGAGACCCTGTGTTTCATAAAGAAACCTAAAGGTAGCTATGCGGATGTGCAGTAAGCATGTGGTGTTTCCAGCATGGCAGTCCTGGAGAAAACGCAACTTTAAACTGCAAAGAGGGCCCTGGGTCTGGCTCAGCGTCTTTGCCCACATGCGTGAGGCCCTGGGTTCAAATCGTAACAACACAAAAACGAAACACTCCCAGACACCACATTTACTCAAATGACACACAAAAGGCCAACAGAGGCCACCAGATGTCTGAGAAGCTTTAGTCATGTCAAAGCAGGAGCAGGCCAAGTCTCTCACTACAGGCAGATGGTGACTCCATGGAGGAGGGACGTGGGCGAATGTCACCAGGAAAGAGATGACAGTGCCACTACCTCACTATCCCATTGATATAGTTTCAGCAAAGGCAGGACGATCAGATAAAATGCAAAGAAACCGACCACAGGGCCTGTGGGAGCATATCAGGATGCAAGGGGATGCCATCTCTTGGTAGGGCTCTCAGTTACACAGCTGAGGTTTCCCCAAAGCTCTTCGGGTCTCTGGCTATGCGGCAAGACCTGCAGGATACACAGCATATAGTAACCATGAGTCTGATGACACAAACCTGGGATCCCAACCACTAGGGGGCTGAGGCAGGAGGATTGCCATGAGTTTGAGACCGTCTTGGGCTACAGAATGAAATGTTGTCTTAACACACAAATAAAACTCCAGAAAAGCCAGGTGTGGTGGTACATGCCTTTAATTCCAGCTCGTGGAGGCAGAGGCAGTTGGATGTCTCTGAGTTTTGACCCTGTCTAGGGTGTAGGAATGGGTTTAATTTCTCTGCCAACTAAAGACTTAAACAGCAGGAAAGAAGTGTGTTGCTAGAAATTTTGGAGAGTCCTAAGGGAGTTGATATACCTAGGAATTTGGGGGCCCCTCTTGGGGTTTTCAGTCTCATTAATAAAAGAATTTGCTAGGCATGGTGGTATATGCCTTTAATCCCAGGACTCAGGCAAAGACAGGAAGATCTCCATGAGTCTGAGGTCGATCTGGTCTACCTCACAAATAACAGAAGCCAGAGCTATATTTGAGATAAAGTCAGGCTTTGCCTCAAAACAAAACAAACAAAAAACTAAAAATAAGAATGAACACAAGGTGTTGTGGAATAATCTTTTTGTACACTATGAAGATGTGTTGTTTTCATTGGTTTATTAAAGAGCTAAATGGACTATAGCTAGGTAGGATGAGGGATAGTCAGGAGAGCCAGACAGAACTCTGGGAAGAAGAAGGGTGGGGTTGTCAGGCAGATGGAGAGGGAGCAAGACACGAAAGAGTTCGGGTAAATGCCACAGTCATGTGGCAACGTGTAGAGCATTGTAGAATGTTGTAAGAGCTAGTGAGTGAGCCAGGCGGTGGTGGCGCACGCCCTTAATGCCAGCACTTGGGAGGCAGAGGCAGGCAGATCTGTTGCTGGAGGGCTTCTCTCCAGGTTCCCCAAGCCCCGCAGTCCCACAATCCACTTATAAAATAATCACTCAGACGCTTATATCACTTATAAACTGTATGGCCGTGGCAGGCTTCTTGCTAACTGTTCTTATAGCTTAAATTAATCCATTTTTATAAATCTATACCTTGCCACGTGGCTGGTGACTTACCAGAGTCTTTACATGCTGCTTGTCCTGGCGGTGGCTGCAGTGTCTTCCCCCACAGCCTTCCGCTTCCCAGAATTCTCCTCTCTCCTTGTCCCACCTACTTCCTGCCTGGCAACCTACTTCCTGCCTGGTCACTGGCCATCAGTGTTTTATTTATATAGAACAATATCCACAGCACAGATCTCTGAGTTCGAGGCCAGCCTGGTGTACAGAATAAGTTCCAGGACAGCCAGGTCTGCACAGAGAAACCCTGTCTTGAGAAACCGAAGAGAGAATGAACACAGAAGGAAGCTCGAGGACAAAGAATGGACCGAAGCAGAAGCTGGAGGGTAGTTGATTAGAGCTCGAAAGGAAACCCCAGCCAGGTGTGGGGCGCATACCTTAGACCAGCAGTGGCTAGGGCAGAGGCAGGAGGATCTCTGTGAGTTTGAGGCCATCCTGGTCTACAAAGTGAGTTCCAGGCTAGCTCGGGCTGCATAGTGTGACCCTGCCTTAAAAGGAGGAGAGAGAAAGGAAGATGTGGTAGCTCATACCAGCATGGTAATCCCAGTCGTTGGGAGGTTTGGGGCATGGAGGCAAGAGGATTAGGAGTTCAAGATCAGCCTCAGCAAGTTTGAGGCCAGCCTCTGAGCTCAGAAGTTTGTGATGAAGTTTCTAGTGCACTTGCCGTGACACCTGTCTGTGTCCTTTCCACCCACCACCAAGCCGTCCCATCTCATCTGCAGCCTGTGGGCCCAAGGGACCCCCTTCCTTCTATTAGGCAATGGACCCTCCTCCCACCTGTGTTTCAAGACAGCATTTCTCTGCAATCCTGGCTGCCTTGGAACTTCCTTTGTTGACCAGGCTGGCCTCAAACTCACAGAAATCCTCCTGCCTCTGCCCTAGCCACTGCTGGTCTAAGATATGCGCCTCAAACTCAGAAACTCAGAGACCTGCCTGCTTCTGCCTCCCGAGTGCTGGGACTAAAGGTGTGCGCCACCACGCTCGGCTAGTAGTAGCTGTCTTAAGGTTTGGGGCTTCTCTTCCAGCTGTGCTCAGACAGGCCACCAGGAATGCACGTAGGGCCTCTGTTTCCAGAGTCATGTGAGGAGAACAGCTACCAAGACCTCCCGAGTCACGACTGTGTTGGTAGGGAGTGATGTGGTGGCCTGCAGAGCTGGGGGGAACCTTAGGTACCGTTCTCTCAAAGGGTGCCAGCACTCACTGAAGAAGTTGGATTGTCCACACAGGCCCTAGGTCTCGGCCCCCACAGGCATTCCTAGGAGAGTGTGAGGGGCGGAGATGGCCAGGCCGCCTCCCGTGGGAGCCCCTGCCTCAGTGTGGCTGGTTCTCAGCCCAGCGCTGTCATACTGCCCTGGAGCTTTGTGCTGGGTAGTTCAGACTCTACAAAGGAAAAACTGCTCGGAAATTCCATTTTTAGAATTAAGGCCTTAGACCAGAAAGGGTGTGATCTGCAGGAGCTGGATTAGCCCCAGGGCCGGATACCAGGATGGGTGTGCCCAGTGACTCTTCCCTGAGCCTGGCACCCAGCAATGCTGCCTAGGTCAGGAGGGGACTGCATGCTTCTGAGGGGGAGTCCAGGTGCCTCCAGCTGGCCACTGCCACCCACTCTGCCCTCCAGCCCCCTCCCAGCCTGAGGCCTGTCCTTAAGCGCTGCATTCCAGGTGGACATCCTCTCCGCTGACATCCCCCGGTTCCTTCTTCCTGTTGCTTCTTCCTTCTCTTTTCTTCTCCTTCCTTCTCTCCCTTGCTTCCTTTCTTTTCCTCTCTACTTGGGCATTTGTGGACAACCTCAGCCTCCTGCCTCAAGACAGATGCCCATCCATATTTACATTAAAAAGATGATTTTTTAAAACAAAAATAGTAACCTGCTCTATTTCTACTTGGAAGTTCTATTTATTCTTTTTCTTCCTCTTCTTCCTCCTCCTTCCTTCTTCAAGACAGGGTCTCACTGTGTAGCCCTGGCTGTCCTGGAACTCACTCTGTAGACCAGGCTGACCTTGAACTCACAGAGTGCTGGGATCTAAGGTGTGCACCACCCTGTCTGGTTTACATCACTCTTCTTTAACCAGATTTCAGCTTCACCTCAGCACCTGTTATAGGCTACCTTCAATTTTGCAATCCCAGTGAGATTTTGTCTTAAAAACAAACAAACAACAACAACCACCAGGATGGCCTTTTTGGTCTGTGCCTGTCACCCCAGCTCTCAGGAGATGGAGGCAGGAGAAACAGAAGTTCAAGGTCACCCTAACTACAGTGACTTCGAGGCCAGCCTGAGCTACCTGAGACCTTGTTTCAAAAACAAACCAAAGGACATTGTGCTGGTTAATTTTGCCAACTTGGCACAAGTTGTAGTCATCTAAGAAGAGGGCACCTCAATTGAGAAAACGGGTCCATAAGATTGGGCTGTAGGCAAGACTGTAGGGCATTTTCTTAATTAGTGATTGATGGGGGAGGGACCATTGATGGTGGGTGGTGCCATCCCTGGGCTGCTGGTCCTGGGTTCTATAAGAAGGTGGGCTGAGCAAGCCATGAGAAGCAAGCACCCCTCCATGGCCTCTGCATCAGCTCCTGCCTCCAGGTTCCTGCCCTGTTTGAGTTCCTGTTCTGACTTCCTCCAGTGATGAACAACAATGTGGAAGTGTGAGCCAAATAAACCCTTTCCTCCTCAGTTTTCTTTTGGTCATGCTGTTTTATCACAGCAATAGTAACTCTAATTAGGACAAAAATCAAATCCACAGGTTGAACCCCAGCGTTGCTTACATTTCCAGGCAGCTTATTGATCTGTCCAGGTAGGGAGCAGGGCAGCAGGGCCAGAAGCTGAAGGAGATGGAAGGAATGAGGGCAGAGGACCACACAGTCCCATCTGGAGGGGAAGAGGATGGAGAAGCTGACAGGTAGCACCACCATGCTGGCTGCCCTTACTGGACAGAAGAGTACCCTAGACCAGCGCTCACCTTCACTGAGACAGCCTGCTGTAGCTGGAACAACCCCAGTCGGGAGCAACATATAGGGAGCAGGGCTGGCCAGGTCCCTTGATGTTCCATGATGTCCCAGCCCCCCAACCCTTCAGCTGGTCCCAGGGATGCTCAGAGGCCACACAGATCTCCACAATCAGGTGTTAAGGCTTTGCCCTGGTAACCCCATGTTTATTCCCAGGGCCCCGTCCCTCTAGGCCCATTGGGACGGGCAGATTATATGTCTGCTGGCCCAATGCAGCCTGCTGAGGCCTTCTCATTGCCAAGGCTGAGCTCATATGGGACATAACTTCACGGTTCTGCCAGCCTCCAGGTCAGAAGCATGGAGGGTCGGAGGACCACGAGAGACGGTACTGGGCTGGAGATGCAGCTCAGTTTGTACAGTGCTTGCCTAGTGTGCACAAAACCCAGCGTTTAATCCCTTGTGCTGTATAAACTGGGTGTGATGATGCAATGCCTGTAATTCTGGCTTTTGGGAGGTGGAGGCGAGGGGTTCATAAGTTCAAGATCATCCTCAGTGCATAATGAGTTTGAGGTCTACTTGGGATACAGGAGACCACCCTATGTCAAAACATTAAAAACCAAACCAAACCAAAACAACATATTCAAGCAAGGATGGGTGAGGCTGACTGTAGAGAACCCTTTGCTTCACCCCAGCCACCAGGCAGTTGTCTTGCCAAGTATTTGGACAGCAGAGCCTTGGACAGCAGTCCCTCCCTTGGGGGAGTGACCTCAGTCACTAATGGCTCTAAGAACTGTCAGGAATTCTGAGAGTCAAGACAGGAGACAAGGACTCAAGGGGCTTGAGTCTCTTCCACCAGAGGGCCGAGAGGCAAAGGGTCAGCTTGACCTCCTCTCTTCCAGGGGCCCCAGCGGCATACCCTGCTGCTCGGTGGCAGGTGCTAGGCAGGGTCCGGAGGTGCTCCCGCTCTAATGATGCCCGGCCAGGGGACAAACAGCTGCGTCAACTGACCACACTGAACAGCAGAGGAAGGGACATGTGGAGGCCTGGGGGAGGCCTTGGCCAGGCTGGCATGGCCACAGAAGGCTTCTTTGAGGAAATGACTCCTGCCTGAGTCTTGGAGTACTGAGGGTACTGAGGGACAAAGAACATACGCTGTGGTCTAACTATTCCTGTGGGAATAACACGACCGTGGCCATGACGGAGCAGAGACTGCTATGAGGACCTACAGAAAACCTTGGCTCTGCAGGCGTGGTTCTGAAAGAAGCAATATGGTATGGTGCTGGCTAGAATCATGGGAAGGAACTGTTAACCACTCCCAGGAGAGGTACCAGGCCCTCACCCAAGAGTCCAGCGACCACTCCTTCCTGCTCCGTAGCTGTCCACGGTCTTGGGAGGTACTGGGTGTATTGAGGTGATAGGTTACCCGAGGATGGGACTGCAGCAATGCAGATCTTGTGAACTGTCACACATGCTGGGTGACCTTTGGGTGGGAGAGCTGCTGGAGAGTCACCCCTGCTTCTGGAAATAACCCCAAGAAGCTCTTTGACTCAGCTGGACTAGGATGGAGTTCTTCCTTTGGTCTGTGGATACCCTAATTGGGGGTGAACAGATATTTATACATTTTTTTCAAAGATTCACATTCCTTTATGTGTATGTGTGGGTGTGTGCCCATGTGTGCAGGTGTCAGAGACCAGAAGAGGGCCACATGCTCTGGAGCTGGAGTTATAGGCAATTGTGAGCATTTCCCCGATGTGGGTGCTGGAAACAGAATTCCAGTCCTCTGAAAGAACAGCAAACATTCTTAACTGTTTAGCCATTTCTCCAGGTGTCTCTGTCTCCCCAGGAAGTCACACAACATTCTGGGCAAGTGGACACCGAACTTAGTGTCGGGGACAGATGAGGGCAGCTAGGGACAGGTACTAGGAGGTTAGCACAATCAGGTCCTGTGGGCCTTGTCAACCATAGACCAAGCTAAGGAGTTTTACCCCGGTGCTGAGAGGGACGTGTGGCTGTGGCAGTGTGGATTAACTCCGTCTTTTCTTTCCTTTTAATTTTTTTTTTTTTAGTTTTGGTTTTTCAAGACAGGATTTCTCTGTGTAACATTTCTGGTTGTCCTGAAATCTGCTTTGTAGACCAGGCTGGCCTCGAACTCACAGAGATCCGCCTGCCTCTGCCTCCCGAGTGCTGAGATTAAAGGTGTGTGCCACCATTGCCCCAACTTGCTTCGTCTTTTCTTCCCTGCAACACAGCGGGATGCTCCTGTCTCAGGACTTTACTGGAGCATTCCGGGCTGGCTTTGTGGGTCCATTCCTTCCTATATTTCCGGTGTCAGCACACCTCTCTGACCTTGGAGTTGGGTTGTGTACCCTCCCCCCATCACCTGCCTGTTCTCCTGTTTCAGGAGGTCTTGCTGCATCCTTACTGGAACGGGAGCAGACATCTGCCACTTTATGCACCTGGGTCTTCCTAATGGGGACCGGGGGAGTTTAGTGGAGATCAGTTGAAGGGGCAAAAGAACGAGATGCTAGAGCACGAATAGTGATGGGAAGGGACGGATTTTTTTTTTTTTTTTTTTTTTTTTTTTTTTTTTTTTTTTTTTTTTTTGTTTTTCGAGACAGGGTTTCTCTGTGCAGCTTTGCGCCTTTCCTGGAACTCACTTGGTAGCCCAGGCTGGCCTCGAACTCACAGAGATCCGGGAAGGGACGGATTTTAAAAAAGGAGGTAGTCCTCGCCCGTCACTGAAAAGTGTGCAGGTGTACGGGCTCTGAGGGGGCAGTGACTGACCCGCGGGATGGGAACGGGCTCCTGCTTAGCCTGCTCTTTTAGAGAAGCACCTGGCCAGGACCAGGCGTGTTGACTGAAGAATGGTGACCCAGCATCCAAGCAGCAGTTTGTGTGCTGGCGCTTTACTTGACCGTGAACTCACAGCCTCTCTGTAGGCCAGTCTGAGCTGCTGTGTTCTCCACGGGAGCCATCCCCTTATTAGCCAGTCTTTATTTATTTATTTTTAGGGGGTCAAAGTAACTGGATCTGCCTGTTAAGCCCCAAAGCACCTGCCTCCCTGATGTTGACAGGTGTAACTGCCCGGCGGGAGACGGCAGCAGGTGCTGGGCAATGCCATCAGAGGAGGGCCGCGGTTCCCAAGCTGGGGAGGCTGGCACTCGCAACTCCTACCCCTTAGCAATGCCACCCCGCCGCTCTGGGGACGTCTGCCGGCACCTGGAGAGTTCCCAAGCCGCTGCCCGCAAGCTCGGCCTTGCCACTGACTCAGCGTGCCCTCCAGCCGGCTGCTGAGTCAGGCCTGCAGCGGGGGTGCCAGGCGGCTGTGCGAGACCCAGAAGCAAGCGGAGCTGGCAAGCCTGCCCTTCGGGCCGGGCTGGAGGTCGAGAGCGGTGGCCAGCAGCGAGCCGCGGCGGGGCGGGCCCTGCCGCCGGGCACCCTTCTCCTCCTCCGTCTCTCCAGGCGCGACGGGTAAGGCTCCCGGGTCGGGGGCGACCGCCCGCGGCTGCGAGGTTTCCGCAGGGAGCTGGGATCGCCGACCACCCGGGCCTCAGTTTCCCCCCCGAGCCCCGCCCGGCGGCGCGAGGGCGGGTGACGTCACGGCGCGCGGCATTGTG